ACAATTGGGGTTCAACCCCGGTGCTCAGGCGACAGGGTAGAAGCAGGGTCAGACAGAGAGCAGCAGCCCAGCCCCCACCAGCCCCAGCCCTCCCCCCCCATACAGCCCCACCTTGCTGAGGGCAACCCAGGGCAGTGCACGGTACTCAGGAGAGAACCAGGAGCAGGCTGCAGGGCCCCAGAGGAGCCAGCACCCACAGCCAGCAAGGTGACATGCTGTAACATGTTTGTAACATGCTGCCCAAACCTCCATGGTCTCGCCTGGACATCATGCCTCCACCTCCTTGCAAGGGGAAGTCCATCTTTCTGGATTTGCTTTCTCCGGGATATGAGGAGTCTTTGTTTTTCTAGCTAGGGTCTCACTATGTACCTTAGGCTGTCCTGGATCACTCTCCTCTCTCTCTTAAATAATTTATTTAACTTTATGTTATGTGCATTGGTGTGAAGGTATCAAGATTCTCTGGAGCTGGAGTTACAGACAGTTTTGAGCTGCCATGTGGGTGCTGGGAACTGAACCCAGGTCCTCTGGAAGAGCAGCCAGTGCTCTTAACCGCTGAGCCATCTCTCCAGCCCCTCTCCTTTTTTAAAAAAAAATTAAAATTTTACTGTGTGTAAAAAAAATGCTATGTGTGCATAGATAGCTCTTTTGTCTGTATGTATGTCTGTGCAATGTCAATGGAGACCAGAAGGGGCAGCAGCTTCCCTGGGACAGGAGTTACAGACATGTCAGTTGCCATGTGGGTGCTGGGAATGGAACCTGGGTCCTTTGGAAAAGCAGCCTGTGCTCCTAACCAGGGACCCATCGATGCTGCCCGTTCATTTGCATGCATTTGCGTAACTACAATCTAGAAGTGACTAGAGGCACATGTGGGCTGAGGATGGTTTAATCCCTCTGCCTTTTAGAGGAAATTCTCCAGCAGCTGTGAATGTTAGTATTTCTAGAAGCTCTTGGAGCCAGAGTCCCCTCCAAATAATGAGGGTTAGCCGTGTGGGGGTCGTAACAGAAGCATGCATGTACGGTGCCTATAATCATGCCTGACCTACAGTAAATGCCCCCTAAGACATGCGTTCCTGGGGGGCTGGAGAGGAGGCTCAGAGGTTAAGAGTCCTGAGTTCAATTCTCAACAATCACATGGTGGCTCACAACCATCCAAAATGAGATCTGGTGCCCTCTGCTGGCCTGAAGGCAGACATGCAGCCAGAACACTGGTGATTCTGCAGTTTTGCTGGGCAGTGGTGGCGCAGGCCTTTCATCCCAGCACGCAAGAGGCAGAGGCAGGCGGATCTCTGTGAGTTCTAGACCAGCCGGGTCTACAGAGAGAGTTCTAGGACAGCCAGGGCCACACGGAGAACCCTGTCGAGAAAGAACAAAGAGGCGAGGATACCAGCAAGGTGGCTCAGTGGATAAAACCCACTTGTTGCCAAGTCTGACGGCCTGAGTGTGATCCCCGGAAGACACATGAAAGAAACAGGGAAGATTTCACAAAGTTTCCCCACATGAACATGATGGCAGAAGCCACCTGCCTCACATAATAGCAGTAAAAACAAAGAGGGGAAGGGAGAGGGCATGACCCTGGGTTCCAGAAATCAGGTGTGGTATTGAACACCTATCATGCCAACACTCAACAGGTAGCTGTGGGAAGGGGGAAGATCAGGGGTTCAAGGCCATCCCTGCCTATGTAATAAATTCAAATCTAGCCTGGGCTACATGGAATCTTGATTTTTTTTTTTTTTTTTTTTTTTTTTTGAGACAGGGTCTCGTTGTAGCCCAGGCTGCTCGGCTGGCTCCGACTGCACCCCTGCAAAGACAGCGTTCCACACACTACATGGTTGAGAATGGCTTTGAACTCGGGATTTTCTCCTGCCACTACCTCCCAAGCAAATGAGTCTTAAGGACGCCCACCCCACAGAGTTGTGCCATCCACTGTGGTGACAATGGTCACTTCCTGTAGCACTGAGGCTGGAGGAGCCGAAGGCTCTGTCCCGGGCCCCTGCATGGCCCCTGATTGTGCAATGGTAAGGCCATAGGGATGATGGTCAAGAGCTGCCCCAGAATCTTCTTGTGTCCCTTCCCTCCTCCCCGGTGACCTGCTTCTCCTCTTCGGTACCAAATCTGGGCCTTTGGCACAAAGTGGATTAGGCAGCTGCCCCAAGAGGCCTGGCCAGGTCATGGCCTCTGGCCGGTGCTTGCCACGCCCATCTCCCGTGCCCAAACAGGGCCCCAGATCTTCTGTGACTCGATCCCTCCAAATTCCGGTGATCCACCCACCCTGCTTCCAAATTGCCGAACGATCCCAGGTCCTGTGGCAGACCGAGCCAAGCCTCAACCAAGGAGGGTCTGTGAGACTGGAACGCCATCGCCACCAACCATCGCCGACACCAACCTGGGGTGAAAGATGCCATTGGCCTGGTGCAGCTGGCTCCTCCTCAGTGGTGAGCGAGAAGGGACCCCCCTTCCCCAGACCCTCAGCCTACTCCCTGCACCCCCAGGAGCCTGAAGGCAGGGAGAGGGATTCCTGCCCGGGGAGGGTAGGTGTGAACCAGAAGGCCAGCACACTGTGGGCAGAGCAACTTTGCTCCACTCGGGCAGTTTGCTCTCTCTCTCTCAAGAGGCCTGTAGGGCAGGCTGGTGACTGCCACTGAGAGGTGTTGGCAGTGGGGTTTCAGAGGGTCCCGAAGCCCGAGCAAAGCAAGCCGACCAATGGCAGGGTTTCCAGACTCTCACTGTTTGGGCTTGGTTTAGGTGTTTTTGAGGTAAGGTCTCCTATAGCCCAGGTTGGCCTCAAGCTAACTTCTGATCTTCCTGCCTCCAGCTCCCTAGTGTTGGGATTACAGGTATGTATTATCAGGCCAAGTTTCTGTGTTGGGGATTGAACCCAGGACCTCATGCTTGCTAAACAAACCATCTACAAACTGAGCTACAGCCCCAGCAACCTTACCCTGTCTTTTGTTCTTGAGACAAGGTCTCACTGTTGCCCTGGCTAACCTGGAGCTCACTCTGTAGACCAGGCTGGCCTTGAACTCACAGATCCACCTGCCTCTGCCTCCTGAGTGCTGAGATTAAAGGTGTGTGCTCCACCAAGCCCCACACTAGTGAGGTTTCTGTTGTTGCTTGTTGAGACAGGGTCTGACTATTCAGTCCAGGCTAGCCTCAAGCTTGAGACAATCCTCCTGCCTCAGCTCCCGGAGTGTGGCCGCCATGCCTGGGCCTTCCTGCTCTCCTGTCAGCCTCAGTTGACTTAGCTGTGACTAGGCCTAGCTCACAGGGTCACTCTAAGGTCCCTTAGCAGCAGGGTTTATTGGCATCTACTGTTTACCTACTTCTAATCTTTCTCCCTTGCTAGCATCCCTGGGAGGGGATGCTCCCTTGTGGCCTGACTTCCTGGACAGGAAAAGCAGGCCTTGAAAAGGTTACTTGCTGGCCAGGGTCTCACAACACAAAATGGCAGAGCTTTGCCCTAAGCCCAGAACCTGTCACTACCACCCACTTTCTTCCAACTAGGAAGGGACTGGAAACCAAGTCAGGCCAGGCCTGCAAGTGTGTGTCAAGTGCTAAACGCCAGAGCCACCTTGTGAGCCAAGCACAGATGAGAAGGAAGCAGTAAGGACCAGCCCTACTGGTTGGGACTTGTCCGTTTGTGGAGAAGGGGTGGCGGAGGCTGGGGGTGTGGTTCAGGGGGTAGAGGGCTTGCCTAACACTGGCCAGGTGCTGGGTTTGATCCCCAGCAGAGCATAAACTGGGTGTGGTGATACCTGCCCAGAGTCTCAGCTCTCAGGAGGTGAAGGCGGGGAGATTAGAAGTTCAAGGTCATCCTCTGCTGTCTGTCAAGGTGAGGCCGGCATGGGATACCAGCATCTGGACGGAGGAGAGACTAAAGGACAGAAAGGAAGGAGAAAGGGATGGAGGGATTTCACACATCTCTGCTCCCTGTGTGGCGGCCCTGGTACACACAGAGGGAGCGCCCTCAGCTTGGGCGAGTCCTGGTGTTAGCCTGAGGGGACAGATTCAGTTGGCTACATGAGCCGAGGGGCCTGCTTGAGTCTCAGCCTGGGAAGCCTCCTGCATCCCATTGAACTCTGCAGAGCCATCCCTGCAGACAGACTCCATGGATGCTCAGGTGTTAGAGCCCGGCTTGCCGGCACATGCTTGCAAATCCCAGCACTGAGGGGACAGAGGCAGGACTTCCAGAAGAGCCTTCTCCATCACATGGGAAGTTCAGACTCCACTCCCTGCTCTAAAGTAGGTGATTAAGGGCCAGAGAACTACGAGTTGGAGCTGGGAGTCAGTAGCAGACTATTTGCCTGGAATCCCCCAGTGAGAGGTTGAGGGTATGGCTCAGTGGTAGAGCCCCTGCCTAGAATCCCCCAGTGAGGGGCTGGGGTGTGGCTCAGTGGTAGAGCCCCTGCCTAGAATCCCCCAGTGAGGGGCTGGGGTGTGGCTCAGTGGCAGAGCCCCTGCCTAGAATCCCCCAGTGAGGGGCTGGGGTGTGGCTCAGTGGTAGAGCCCCTGCCTAGAATCCCCCAGTGAGGGGCTGGGGTGTGGCTCAGTGGTAGAGCCCCTGCCTAGAATCCCCCAGTGAGGGGCTGGGGGTGTGGCTCAGTGGCAGAGCCCCTGCCTAGAATCCCCCAGTGAGGGGCTGGGGTGTGGCTCAGTGGTAGAGCCCCTGCCTAGAATCCCCCAGTGAGGGGCTGGGGTGTGGCTCAGTGGCAGAGCCCCTGCCTAGAATCCCCCAGTGAGGGGCTGGGGTGTGGCTCAGTGGTAGAGCCCCTGCCTAGAATCCCCCAGTGAGGGGCTGGGGTGTGGCTCAGTGGCAGAGCCCCTGCCTAGAATCCCCCAGTGAGGGGCTGGGGTGTGGCTCAGTGGTAGAGCCCCTGCCTAGAATCCCCCAGTGAGGGGCTGGGGTGTGGCTCAGTGGTAGAGCCCCTGCCTAGAATCCCCCAGTGAGGGGCTGGGGTGTGGCTCAGTGGTGGAGTCCCTGCCTAGAATCCCCCAGTGAGGAGATGGATGAGGCCCTGGGTTTTAACCCAGAGGGAAGTGGCTATGAGAGGCACGAATCTTGCTTGGGTCTGATCTTGTAGACACTGGGGATATCACCTCTGAGCCTGTCAACTCCAGTCAAATGAGGTGACAAGTCACTCCTACCCCATCCAACCTGCCTGCCCCTTCTCGTCTTTCTCAGCCTGGATGCTGAACGCCGGGGCTGAGATCTCCATCACCCCTGAGCCTGCCCAACCGGCAGAGGGAGACAACATCACACTGGTGGCCCGTGGGCTGTCCGGGGAGCTGCTGGCCTACAATTGGTATGCAGGGCCTACACTCAGCCTGACCTTCCTGGTGGCCAGCTACATTGTCAGCACTGGCGATGAGACCCCGGGACCGGCCCACACAGGACGGGAAGCTGTGCGCCCCGACGGCAGCCTTGCTATCCATGGTGCCCTGCCGGGGCACACAGGCACCTATATTCTGCAGACCCTTAACAGGCAGTTCCAGACGGAGGTGGGCTACGGACACATGCAGGTCTATGGTGAGCCACCCCTTGCAACACATCCAGGACTTAGCGCCCTCTTCCTCACCCATCCTTTGAAGACAGAAGCAAAACAAAATTATTCTTTAAAATTGCATTATGTGTGTGAGTGAGGTTTCGCGTGTCACAAACAGACATGTGGAGGTCAGAGGATTCTTTCCTTCCACCATGAGGAACCCAGGGATCGAACCCAGGTGGCCAGGTTTGGTGGCGAGCACTTTTACCCACCGAGCCATCTTGCCAGGCCCTTAAAACAGTGTGAGGAGAATGCCTACAATAGCACTAAAATGCTCACCACCTCCATCATCCAGAATGATATCTGTCTTTTTTGTCGTGGGGGGGGGGGTACAGAAGCACAGCTTGGTGGTGCTTCTTGCCCCGGGGACAGGAGGTGCCCCTCCCCTCCCCCTCTGTCTCTTGCTCGCCCCCCCCATAGAGATCCTGACCCCTCCTACGGTCGTGGCCAACGACACGGCGCTGGTGGAGCGTAGGGACACCCTTCGTCTCGTGTGCAGCAGCCCCAGCCCCGCTGAGGTCCGCTGGTTCTTCAATGGAGACGCCCTGCCTGTCCCCGTCCGCTTGGGCCTGTCCCCGGATGGCAGGGTGCTGACCCGGCATGGCATCCGCAGGGAGGAGGCGGGCGCCTACCAGTGCGAGGTGCGGAACCCGGTCAGCGTCAGCCGCAGTGAACCCCTGAACTTGACCGTATACTGTGAGTCTTCCGGGGGAGGCAACCGGCATCCACATCCCACAGAGAAGGAGTCCACAGTCACCACAGCAAGCAGGCTGGGGGAGGGGCAAGGGTCCCTCATAAGTACCGATTGTGGCTGATGACGTAGATAAGCGAGGGAATACACACCTGCCACATCGAGGCATCCGGAAGGCGAGGGAAAGCTGCCTTCTCCGTGAGGTAACAAGATTTGTCAAATAAATAAATAAACAAATAAAAGCGTGTCGGGGAGGTGGGGTATAGCTGAGCTGGTAGGATGCTTGTCTGTCATGCGCCACGCCCCGGGTTCCACCTGAAGAACTACAAACTACTCACATTAGTGTAGATCTACGATTCTAGCACTTAGGGAAGTGGAGGCAGGGTCCTGAGCTCCTGTCCTTATCTGCTGCATATGGAGTGTGAGGCTAGCCTGGGCAAAAAGGGGAAAAAAAGACCCCTAAATAAAATGATAACATGGCCCAAGGAATGTTTGGGTTCGAAAGGGTAAGGGCTAACATCTCCAGGGCTCTGGGCTTGGAGGGGACTCACAAAAGCTTCATCATAGTCCCTGGGGCAGCAGGAGTGTGGAATCCTGGGAAAACTAATCACTGAGGTGCCTGGCATCGATTTAATCCAGGAGGCAGAGGGAAGAGATTGCTGTGAGTTCAAGACCAGCCAGGACTACATGATGAGGCTCTCGCTTTAAAAATAAATAAATAAATTTTCAATTAAAAGGCAAAACAGGCTACAGCCAGAGGAATCTAGATGCTGGAAACTCTAGAAGCAGAGGCGAGGCTCCTAGAACCAAGTTATAACACTAGATAATCTAGACCAGTGATTTTCAACACGTGCGTCAAATGACCCTTTTACAGGGGCCGCCGAAGACCGGAAAACTCAGTTATTTACATTATGATTCATAACATTGGCAAAATCACAGTCACAAAGGAGCAATGGGAATAATTTTAGGGTTGGGGGTCACCACAACATGGGAACTATGAAAGCGTCTCAGCATTAGGAAGGTTAAGAACAATTGCTCTAAAATCTTAGACACACGGATTTCTAGGGTCTGAGAATACTAAGACATAGAGCATAGATTGTTTTGTTTTGTTTTTCCAGACGGGGTTTCTCTGTGTAACCTTGGCTGCCCTGGAGCTCACTCTGGAGACCAGGCTGGCCTCGAACTCACAGAGACCCACCTGCCTCTGCCTCCCTTCCTGGAAATAAAGGCATGCGCCACCACCACCCAATTCCACACATTCTTTTTTACAGATGATAAAAGAACAAAAAAACAAACAAAAACAAAAACCCACGGAGTTCTGAGAGCTTAAGGGAGGGGAAGTGAGTTTCAAGATTCCAAAGTTAGTGATGCAGACCTGATCAAGAAAAGCTCGGGTTCTTTCTTCCCTGTATTCAGCCCCACCAGCCCCGGGGACCCAATCTGGTAGACAAGACTTGGGATGTGTGCCTCTGCCCCCTCCCAGCCCAGCACCCTGTCCCTCCGGTGTCTCTCCCTCCTGTCCTACAGACGGCCCTGAACGCGTGGCTATCCTCCAAGATTCCACCACCCGTACGGGCTGCACCATTAAAATGGACTTCAACACATCCCTCACCCTGTGGTGTGTGTCCCGATCCTGCCCTGAGCCAGAGTATGTGTGGGCATTCAACGGGAAGGCCTTGAAGAATGGCCAGGACCGCCTGAACATCACCAGCATGACCGCGGCCCATGAGGGCACCTACACGTGTATTGCTAAGAACTCCAAGACTCTGCTGTCCGGCTCTGCCTCCGTGGTGGTCAAGCTGTCCGGTGAGTCGGCCCCAGCCTGGAGGACCACCTGCTCTCTACAGAGTCGCAGCAGGCCTTTGCTGACAGGGCCACCGTTTTCCCAGGAGATAATTGGATTCCCAGCACATTCATTGGCCAGTTGTGACAAGCTGGCAGGCATATGGGCTTGTCCCCGTCTTGTCTAGGTGCAAAAAGAGGCAGGCAGCGCCTGTCACATAGGAAATAAGTGATGGCTCACATCCTCTGCCTTGAGGTTAGACTGAGTCCCCTTCTTGTGGGGTGGCAGAGTGGGACGCCAGGGTCCATGTCCTTCCATGTAATACCCCAGTTGGTACACAGCCCTCCCACACACCATAGCTGGAAAACACAGGCAGTTGTTAGCCTGAAATCCAGCCAGGGTACTGTCATGCCCCAAGGATGCTGGCTTTGAACATCAAGGCCTCGTGTATAATCACGGTGTGTGCGAGGTAATGGCAGGAGGATCAGGAGTTTAAAAATTATTGGCTACACAGAGAGTTCGAAGTCAGACATTGCCTCAAAATGATGATGATGATGATGATAATAATAATAATTCTACCTGGGTTCCTTCTCAAGTGGCTGCTGTCCCTTAGGGACAGTGGAACTCGTCCGCCCCTCCCCCTCCCTTCTTCCTCCACTAACAGGCTGGGTCTCTTGCAAAGGGTGGGGATGGACCCCTCTTTCATGCAGAGCAAAGATGGCGGCCCCAAAGGTAAGTGTGCCTCCTGCTTTACCCGGGAGAGTCCTTGTCTGGAGACAGGGTGGACCAGATGACCTCGGGGACAACATGGGGGGTGTCCAAGGTCTGCAGGTATGTTCCGGGTGTACCTAATGCAACACCCCCAAGACTGCTTGCTTCCAAGCTGCCAGGGATCCTGTGACAGGTGCTGGGAGAGGGATCGAGGATAGACAACACTGTCCCCCTGCCCCTGGGAAGCAAGCCGATCTGATGGAGGAGGCACAGTCTTTCTCTGATCTCAGAGGGATCAGGGAAGCGATGCCTCACCTTCTCTGGGCTCCCAGGCACTGGTGGAGGAGACATGAGGGGCCTTTAGTCGGAGGGAGGAGGCATAGCCTGGAAAATTTTCCAGGTCATTAGGAGACGTGACACTACTTTAAAATTCCTAGTCTGATGGGGGAGACATAGGTCCCACTTTGGAAACAATCCAAATCTGATGGGGGAGTATGGGCCCCCCCACTTCCTATGGACACAATTAAGATGATCATTCCCAACTCTAGGGGTCTCTAACTTGATTAGATGGTCCACTCTGACAATCCACAATTTCTTGGTCTGATGGAGGAGGCGGAGGCCCCCACCTTGTAGGGAATTTCAAACCAATAGAATAGGCTTCCCAGCTTCTAGAACTTGATTGAAAATAAAAATCTAGAATTTCCTAATCTGATGGAGGAGACACAATCCACACCTTGTGGGAATTTTTAAATGCAGCACAGGGTATGCACAGCTCCTCCCTTCTAGGGCCTTCCGATCTGATGGAGGAGTTGTCACCCCATGTTCTTGGGTCTGCTGCTGTCACAGAAAAGACGTTCTGTGGGAACAGAAATCCAATGGACAAGACACAGCCACATTTTCTGGGATTTCCCACCTGATAGGGGAGGCAAGGCCCCTGGAGTTTGGAAGCCTGTACCCCAATGGAGGAGACATGGCTAGACTCTCTAGGGGTCTCCCAGTTTCATAGGAGAGACAACATGCACCATTGTTCAAGGCTGAAATCTAGAGAGGGGAGAGGTGCCCCTGGCAGATCACTGAGACAGAAAGTGTATGTGGTTATCCAAGGAGTCACCTCCATCCTTGGTCTCCCCGGCACCTCAGGAGGAGCATTGGCATTGTCCCTGAAGAAGCTGGCCAAGGGAGGGGAGGACTCCACTCCATCCCCAGGGCGGCCCTGGCTCACAGTAGTGGTGGCCCTCTCTCTCCAGCCGCAGCTGTGGCCATGATGATTGTGCCTGTGCCGACTAAACCGATGGAGGGCCAGGATGTGACCCTGACCGTCCAGGGCTACCCCAAGGACCTGCTAGTCTATGCCTGGTACCGGGGACCCGCCTCAGAGCCCAACCGACTGCTCAGCCAGCTGCCGTCGGGGAACTGGATCGCCGGGCCGGCACACACGGGCCGGGAGGTGGGCTTCGCCAATTGCTCGCTGCTGGTGCAAAAGCTGAACCTCACAGACGCCGGGCGCTACACACTCAAGACCGTCACACTACAGGGCAAGACCGACACATTGGAGGTGGAGCTTCAGGTGGCCCGTGAGTGAGCAGCTTGGGGGAGACACGGTCCCAAAGGTGGCCTTCTCCTCCCCCACAAGCCTGAGGGACACAGGCATGTGCATCTCCCATCTGACCTGAGTGTCCCCATGAATCACTTGTCTTGCCTCCCTAACGGTGACATCCACCAAGGGTAGGAGGCCTCCATCAGACAGAGGCCTCTTACAGCCAGATGGAAGGCTATAAGCAGAGGTATCATGTGAGGGTGGGCATCTTATCTCCTCAGGGGAGTGGAAGCTAAACCTCGGGGATCCAGCCTCTTCCACCACACTGGGGAGTTGGGGTGAATACAGGTATTGTCTCCCCCATGAGACAAAGCATGAAGGCAAGAAATCTCCACCTTCTGACAGGAGAGATTCCCCCAACCTGAAATGCATGACTTGCACTGGGTTGCAGCCTGCTAGGTGTGTCTCCTCCATCAGACAGGTTTCTCGGTTGGGAAAGACCCCTCCCGCATCAAGCTGAGGGCTCTCACAGTAGAGAAACATGTCTCTTTCATCAGATTCAGAGCTGTCTCCTCCATCAGACTGGGAGCTCCCAGGGTCAGGGTCATGTCTCCTCCATCAGACTGGGAGCTCCCAGAGTCAGGAATAGTGTCTCCTCCATCAGACTGGGAGCTCCCAGGGTCAGGGTCATGTCTCCTCTATCGGAGGGGCTGTCAGTTAGGAACCATGCTCTCGCAAACAAAGACCATGTCTCCTCCATCAGACTAGGAATTCCCACAGATCTTCAAAGCCATATTACTAGGGCAGGTGCCCTGAACAAATGCTCCCACATGGAGAATAACAGTCTGAGGTCTTGCCTATTGCATCAGACTAGGCACTCAGACGTCAAGTTCCTGAGCCAGGACCAGTCTGGCGGGACCCTGCCACTGGCTGTCTGGGTTCGCGCAGGCGCACTCCCGAGCCCCCGGGAATTCTTTGCAGCTTCCTTTGTCACAATCCAGCTGGAGGACCCGTCTACCTTCCTGCACCACCAGACCCCAGACCATGGCACAGGCTGAGCGCGGAGGGTGGGGTCCGCGGGAGGCGCGGTGGGCGGGGCCGCGGGAAGGTCCTCCTGCTGACTGGCAACCTCCTTGTCCCCGCCCTGGTCCTCCTTCACAGCCCTGGAGTAGTCTCTGCCGCCACCGCCACCGCAGCAGCAGCAGCGCAGGCCTCTGAGACCTGGAGAGGAACGCACTCGCTCACGCAGCATCTCCCCGCATCCACCCCCAAGCCCAGGGCCGCTCACCTTCAGCATGGATGAAGGCTGCGGTCCCTCCACCCTGTCTCCATGTAGACTTAGTGCCGAGCTGTGGGAGAGCTGCCCAGTCCATAAACGTCCGGATGAATGCATGTGGTTGTCGGCCTCTCCTTCCACCGCCGCCAGCTGGGTCAAATGCATCTAGCGCCCCTTGCTTTGATTCCCACACCAGAGCATGCTCAGGATGAGTGCATGTGCACTTAGGAGTGCTTGACCCATGCCTCCTCTGCTCCAATGCAGGGCCTGACGCTTTTGCACAGGTCTGCAGTTCACATGGAGGGGTGTCCTGCTCCCCAGGGGGCTAGGGACCGGACCTCTCTGGGGTACAAAGAGTCAGGAAGTGTGGAGTAGGGGAAGACCCTCTCCCCTGGGTAACCTCCTGTCCTCACCTTTGCCCTACGGCAAGGCTACTTCCCCTCAGAGGACAGTATTTCTCAAGGAGCTGTCTAGCACCTTCTAGACCTCAGCCATTATATCAAGAATGCAACGATCTCATGAAGCACTTGCTCATAATGCCAGCAGAGCTGGAGGCGGGAGGATCAGGAGTTCAAGGAACAGGCCAGCCTACACAATGAGGTTCCAGACAAGCCTAGCTTACAAGAGACCCTATCTCAAAACATTTAAAAAAGGGCTAGAGAGACAAAGAGGGTTGATATTTTAGGAGTAGATTATATGGATATAGAATTACTTGTCTCACACATTTTTAAAATTTCCGTCTTCCTACTTCATCTTCCTTAGGGCTTCCAGTTTCTCAGTCACTTCAAGGGCCCAAACAGCTGTAGGCTTCCTGGTTGCAAGGGACTCTGGGAAACGTAGTCTTTCCCTTGGGTGCCTTGATGTCTTCAAATGATGTCATCACCGGTCAGAAACAATGGTTCCCAAGAGGGAAGCAGGCAGCGTCTGCTGCGCCGGGTTGAAAAATTCCTCCCCAGCCTCACAAAATGACCTCTCACCTGCAGCCAAGAGGGAAAGAGGCAGGCATGGCCAATCACCGGGATCCAGAAAGCCTGTGGAACCAGGGATGCCAGCCGAGTCTGTGTGGACTGGGCATTGGGTGAGGGGTGGATGCTTAATTAGGCCAGCAGGAGGGGTAGAGGGAGAGGGAGGCCTCTAAAGTTTCTAGGTCAAGCTAGATTCTGTATCCTTGGTACAGGGAGGCTCAGGTGTCCCAATGACCAAGCCACACATCCCTTTGGACATCTCCAGGTGCCATCTCAAGCCAGCACAGAGTCCTTCATTTGCAGTCCATGAAAGAAACAACAAACACCACGAGACAGATTTTGTGGTGAGGGGAACTTAGCTCTGGGTTCCAAACCTGCAAAAGAATAATAATGAGAATAATGTGGTTAGCTTTATTTTTCATTGCTGAGGAATGAACCTAACACCTTGTGAAGACTAGACAAGCTCTCTACCCCTGAGCTACACCCCTAGCCCCTCACTGGGGGATTCTAGGCAGGGGCTCTATCATGGAGCCACACCCCCAACATAGCCCACTATTTCATTTGTTTTCCTTGAAGCAGGTTCTTACCATATAGACCAAGATGGCACAGAACTTTTGGCCCTACCCCCTTAATCTCCCAAGTTCTAGTGTTTGGGGTCTTTTATGACACCTGGCCAAGCTATTTTTGTCCTTTTACACCACTAATTCCTATGACATCTCTTATGCCTAGCTGCCGTCAATTCTGTCTGTCATAAGTGAGGGTTGGAAGTACTGTAAACTTTGCACCAGCTGTTGTAATTCCCACAGCTGCCAGGAGGGGGCCCAGGTCAGGGTTTCCAGGACCTCCTGAGGCGGTACAGGGCAAAAGAATAGAAAACAAACGTTGAAACTCAGCGCTGCTGGGGAAATCGGCTCTTTGCATCTCTTCATCCATAAAATAGGTACCATGGTACTTACCTCCTAAGACTGAAGAAGCTACAAATGTACAAAAAGAAACCCTCCCCAACTGTTGCCAATAATGTTCATGACCCAGAATAAGATGTTTGCCTTTAGCTACAGGCAGATGGAAATCAAACATATTTGTCTAAGGCTGAGGGTATAGCTCCCAGTGTTAGAGTCCCTATTTACAGTCCCCCAGTGAAGGGCAAGGAATATAGCTCAGCGGTAGAGCCCCTGCCTAGAATCCCCCAGTGAGGGGCTGGGGGCGTGGCTCAGTGTTAGAGCTCCTGCCTAGAATCCCCCAGTGAGGGGCTGGGGTGTGGCTCAGCAGTAGAGCCCCTGCCTAGAATCCCCCAGTGAGGGGCTGGGGTGTGGCTCAGCAGTAGAGCCCCTGCCTAGAATCCCCCAGTGAGGGGATGGGGGTATGGCTATTGCCCAGGATGAGTCCTGGGGTTCCATCCCCAGTAGAGGAGGGGAAAAACAACAACAAAAATGTGTTTCTTCCATGCATCTTCCCACATACATGGGTCTGCCTCATTTCGTGTAATACTTGATAGAATTGTCATGAAAATCACTCATTCTGCCTTCCAAGACAATATGACAAGCTAACCCAGTGAAAGCTCTTAGAACCACAGTAATGGCCCCAGCAGCTTCTGGGACTGGGATCTTGATGTAGATTCTGACTCCACCCTCCAAGCTTCACTTTGAAAGGGGCTCCACTTCCCAAAGTTCCTAAATGCTCAAAAATACATACATAAGGGCTGGAGACGTGGCTCAGTGGTTAAGCGCATTGGCTGCTCATCCAGAGGACCCAGGTTCAATCCCCAGAACTGCATACTCACTCTGGGGGTGGAGGCAGGAGGGTCAGAAGTCCAAGGTCATCCTCAGCTATGTACAAGATCCAAGCCAGCCTGGGGGACAGAAGACCCTGTATTGGCCAGGCACAGTGGCACACACCTTTAATCCAAGAACCTGGGAGGCAGAGGCAGGTGGATCTCTGGGAGTTCAAGGCCAGCCTGGTCTACGGAGTGAGTTCCAGGAAAGCCAGGGCTATACCGTGAGGTCTGTCTATAGCAAGGTGGGGGGGCAATTGTCCCCATTTCAGCCCAGAGGGGAATAGGGTCACACAGCAGACTCAGGCTGAGACCTCTGCCCAGAAAGATCACTGGTTCCCCACCACCACCAAAACCGCCAGGCCTGGGTGGCCCTTGGAGCCCTCAGATTCCACCAGGCCAGGAGGAGAGATAGAAATAGCCTCCAAGACACCTCTACCTCCTTCAGCCCCATCCCCAGATGCCTTTTCTGAAGTAGCTGCCATAGATGGGCCAGACAGGGAATGAATGACCTCCAGGCCACTCACACAATGGCCCAGATGCCTGTGGAGCCTGGCCAAGAAAAGGAAGGAAGCCTGACCCCATTTTTTTTTTCTCTATGGACTCTATGCCAATGGGGAGAGGGATGAGGAAGAAGAGGCCTGGGGTAGGAAGCTGCTAGTGTCCACCTTTCAGAACCAAAGCATCTGGTCCATGCATCCCATTCTGACACACAGTGCCCAGAGAGGGAGTCCTGGCCTCAGTAGGGCTGCACAGCAGCAGCTGTCAATCAGTGCTGGGAGCTCTTGGTGCCGCCTCCACAGCAGAGACAGGAGGTAAGGAGTCCTGCTGTTTCTTTACAGGAGATCAAAGCCCCTAGAGGTATGGTTCCTTCTCTCATCCATTGACAGCCCGAGGCTTTCTTGGGGTTTCAGTTGGTTTGGTTTGTGCTTGGGAGGCAGGGTTTTGCTATACATAGCCCAGGCTGACCTGGAAGCCAAGGGCCTCCTTCCTCAGTCTCCTGAATGCGGGCAGAACAGGAGCACCCAACCGCACCCAGCCACACCCAACCCCAC